GAAGATCTGTAAAGTTGCAAAGACTAAAGTCTCAAATCCAAAGAGATATTCTTTATAAAAGTTAAGAGTCAGCCACACCTACCTAAAACAGCTCATTCTAACACACCCCCACATGTCTACATCACTATGTGAGAAGATTTGCATAACGCGGCCCAAATGTTCACGCAAAGAAAGGCGGCGTACCTTTTATTCTCGCTGTAGTATTGTTGTTGCCGCCATGTCGTGAAGACGCTGTGTGCTTTGTTGTGAAAGCGAAACTACTTTGTTTGGTTTTCCAAAAGAGGACGATATCTGCTTCGTCATGCCTAATACACCAAATACTGTTCTTTTTAGCAACATCATATGACCCCTTTAATGAATTTTATGTTGTTTCTGCCCGAATTCATTTCAGCATAATCCCCTTTCCTGAAGGCCACAACACTTTTTGCTTGCCTCCCATAACTAAATTTAAACTTTATAGTTGCAGTGGCTATACATGGACTGTGTGATAACTTGACCTAGTCTTCTCTATTTATTTATAGCATAAATAGAGAAGACTTCAAGATACAAACTTTTGCAAATAATTATAACATTTGGAATTCTAGTTTTGCATTAAAATGCAAATGTTTGTACCTTAGTGAAAAATAAATATACTTAAATGCCCTGCTTTACTATACTAAACTGGTATACTTAAAGTCTGCTAAATTGAAACAACTAATGTTGTACTTAATGCACTTTAATTGTGCAGAAGTAGTGCTGAAGTCCAACTAAAGATATGCTTAGTAGTAGGGATGCACCGATACCACTTTTTCCAGAACTCGCCCGATACCGATACTTTTATTTTTGGTACTTGCCGATACCGATACTTTTATTTTTGGTACTTGCCGATACCGAGAACCGATACCAATATTTTCATTGCATTTGTAAATTTTTAAAATATTGGGTACAGAAACCAAAAGAGTATGTATAATGTTAGTTACAGTCAAACCAAAATTTACTTTTAAAGCACCTTCAACATTTCTCACATTATCACAGTTTATTCGTTATAGTTGTAGACATCTTTAATCTCTAATAACTCCATTCTGCTGTCTGTTGTCGGTGTTTCTTTGTCTGAATATGGCACTTACCACATGTCAGTATCGGTATCGGTGCATCCCTACTTAGTATATGTGATTGTGATAAAGTGGAACTATTGCAAGTACACTTCAGGTACACTTTAAATATTTTGCATTAATATTATTCAAAGATCATACTTTGATCATACAATCCTCATCAATAGTGACATTAAAACACATTTTAGGCTTAATATTAAGAAATGTGCATTATGCACAAGTACTACTCCAAATACAGTTTAATTATAATGTTTATATCAGTAAGTCTCGAGTTATCTGTCAGTAAATATGTTAATAGATTTGAACTATACTTAGTATGAAATAAATGTATTTACTAGGGTAGCTTTTCTAGATTTTCTAGAAGTCCTGCCCACTTGTGAGACCAGAGTTTCTCCCCTGAATCCTGACTTGTTGTGAAATGGAAGAGTCTTGAGTTATAGTCTCCTTTGTGAGGGCCAGTAATGCAGTCAGATGAGAGAACAGGCTAAAGGTCTGAAATGTGTCAATCAGCATTAACTAGTCTTTAGTCTGCTCTGTCTCCCAGACACTTTCAGAAAGAAACTGTCACTGCCTGCATGTGGAGCTCAGCTCGTAATCTAAATGAACGCCTCTGTCTTTCTCATTTCCCATAATCCCTGTCGTTATAATAGACGGGTGGAGTTTCTTTCTATAGCTGTGCCCTTCGTCCCAGGAAGATTTAGTGCCAGCTGCATGCCTTTCCTGCTATAAAACGATAAAAAAAGTTGATAGAAGTCTGGATTATTCATTAGACTGTGTGCTATTTTCCCCAAATTACCAAGAAAACACACACTACATTGAGACGTGGAGCTTTGACATGTTTGGTCTCTGTATGGCACATGTAAATATGATGTCTTTAGCAGTGCAGGAACTTGGACCTCTAGAGGGTTTAACTGAATGTTTGCTTTTCACATGGTTGCTTTCTAAAAAAAAAATCTACTTTTAATCAAGTGCAGATGGGAATTAGAGTTCAGTTTACATTATTAGATTTGAAGTGACTGACTAAGCAGAGAGATGAACTGATTGACAAAGTTTCCAAGGTTTACACCATTAAACTCTAGTAAAACATTGCTGCTTGAGTTTTGTTTGAGTAGCAAGTAGTGCTGGGCGGTATGACCAAAAAATTTTATCACGGTATTTTTCAAAATTATACCGGTTTCAAGGTACAAGACAGTATTTTTTTTTCATGCATGACCGGGTGTTAACCATATTTTCTACTGATTGAGAGAGGAAATACTGCAGTATATTGACTTAGAATGCCCTATTTTACTGTCATAATGAGTGAATATTGTCAAAAAATACCACACTAAATAGTGACTAACTAA